GTGCCTGCTCACTCCTAGCGGGGGTCCCTCTTGCTTTGTTGTTGCTGCTGCTGCTGCTGCTGCTGCTTCTGCTGCTCCTCCTCCTCCTCCTCCCCCCCCCCTGCTGGAGACAAGCACTGCCACTGCAGCAGGGTGGCTTCAACGGTCATGGGCTCAGCCTGCCCCTTTCACAAACGCTCCCTTTTCTTCCTCCTCTTTCCAGGGAGCTCAAGCTGCGGAATTACGTCCCGGAAGACGAGGAGCTGAAGGAAAGAGTGGTGCCTAAAGCAAAGCCTGCTTCAGGTAGCTCAGCTGAGGAGGCAGGGAGGGGCTGCTTGCAGTCGATCTGTCTCTTCCAGTCTCACCCAGCAGCGGCCAGCCGGGAATCGAGCAAGCAGGACACAGCATCCCCTTTCCCCTTCCCCTTCCCCTTCCCCCATCTCCCCTCCCCTCTTTCTACTTTGTGTATATGGCCACCCATCTCAAATTCACGATTCTGAGTGGCTAACCACAGTTAAAAGTACCATATATCAATAAGAACAATATACCGGAAAAAATAGATGCGCTCCTTTGCCCTGCGTCTTAAGGACAAGGTAGTTTGCTGCCACCAGGCCAGGGCTCTAATGGGGCCCCTGAGAGCAGCTCTTCCTTCTGGAGGACAGGGAAGTCCTCGTGTCATACCTCCAGCCCTCGTGGCTGTGGATTTCCTCCCTGGCAACTGCCCTCTGGAGTCCCCTTCCCCCTGCTGCCCCTCCACGTGTGCTGAGTCTGCAGTTCCCAGGTCTGGAGGACACCCGCTTGGAGATGGCTGCCTTGATTCGTGCCGCTCTTTAGGGGAGCATCCCCAATTGGGGCTTCTGCTGGAGGGGTCCTCTTTGCACCCCCGAGACAGTTGATGTAGGGAACCTCAAGCCTTTCTGCATCTTCCTTGCCCATCTCTCACTGGGGCTTCCTCCTGTCTCTCTAGTGGAAGACAAAGTGAAGGACCAGCTGGAGGCAGCCAAACCTGAACTCATCATCGAGGAAGTGGTAAGGCCTTCTCGCATCAAACCGGGGAACGCCCTTTGGCTGAAAAAAGGGGCCAAGGGACTCTCCCCCGCTGACCCACCTTGGCTTTCTTCCCCTTTAGGATCTGGCAAATCTCGCCCCCAGAAAGCCCGACTGGTGAGTAGGAATGTTCATCTCCAGGAGCAGCACAGCCAACATTGGCTTTTTAAATGCCTTCCATCACTCCAGGCGTGAGAAGAGCCCTGGGTTTGCTGTGGGGCAGTTTGAGGGGTAGAAATGTTCTAGAATTGCTCTTTGTGGGTGTTGCAGGAGGAGAGCCAGGTTAATCTATGGTGGCAAAAAAGTCAGGAGTCTGGTAGCCCCTTTTCTGACACGCCCATTTGATTCCAAGGCAGAAGCTTTTGTGAGCTCTGCAGCTCATGAAAGCTTCTGCCTTGGAATCAAATGGGCGTGTCAGAAAAGGGGCTATCAGACTCCTTACATGTGTGTGTGTGTGTGTGTACAGGTGCAAATCCGTTCCTGTTTGTTGGAAGGGGAGTCACAATCTCTTTTTTGTCCCGTCCTTTCAGGAAAGGGGCATATGGGTCAATGTCCTCCCACTGCATTGCCCTTCAGATGGGATGGGTGTATCCATAGGTGGGGGACTATGAGATTCCACCCATCTGGAGGGTCGTAGGCTGGAGAAGGCTTCTGTGTAGCAAGCTGTCCTTTTCATACCGGCTTCGGGCTGTTTTAGAAAAGAGGCCTGGGTTCACCAGCTTTTTAGGAACTGCTCATGTGGTGAACTGTATTGACTGACTGCTCGTGTGGTGGAATGTATCGGAGACTCATTTTGCTGGTAGCCACAATCTGATTTCTGATCCCTGCTTAGGACCCTATTTGTGGATTGCTGGACATCTCTGGTTCAAGTTACACTAAGAGGGGGCCTTTGGCCCTTTGAAAAAGTTTAAGCTTCTTTTGAAAGGTGTGTTTTTAGCAACCACCTTCTTAGTAGATTTGTCTAATTTGGTGGCTTCTCTCATTGACAAATGATTAGCATGAAAGTCCTCAGAGTCTGTTCTGTTTTCCGCCGTTCCCTTTTTTTAAACCAGGTTCTCTGCTCTGAGCATTTCTGATAATTGAGGGAGCCTCCCCATGCTGTCAAGTCAATTCGGCTTGTTTTCTCTTTGGTGGAAAAGAGCTCTGTTGTATAAATTTGAAGAGGGTTCTGCTCTCCTCAGTTGCCCCCCTCCCCGCTTGGCAGGGTGGGGTCCCCGATCCCTTCAGGTGCAATGCAAAGGCCCACCCTTGTCTTCTATCCAAAGGGATGGGAGCTCTGAGCTAATTTTGCATTTAAAGATTGTACAACCCTGGGCTGGTAGAAGAGTTTTGTTTTGCTTCGTTTCCCTCCTCTCGTTCTTCAGGGACCTGAAGCGAGACGTAGCCAAGAAGCTGGAAAAACTGGAAAAGCGTACCCAGAGGGCCATTGCTGAACTGATCCGTGAGTGGTGGTCTGTGGGTAAAGACATAGGAGCACCCAGGGGTCCCCAAACAGCCATTTGCCGTGCCACAAACGATGCAGATTATGCAGTCATGAAAAGCACCTCTGTTCATTTGCGCAGTGACATCATGGCACATGTGATGTCACTTGGCCTCCTGTCAAAGCCCACAGCTAAGGCCAGATTTACAAGCCAGATCTGGAACTACGTCTAAGACGTCGTCCTTCCCATCTGACATTGGCACTTGCTCCTCCTTCACCCTTCTCTTCACGTTCTAATATTTCCACCCCGTAATAGGGGAATCCTTTGTACAAGAAGCCAGGCTTTCCTGGCTTCACCATGAAATATGTCTCTGGAAGGCTTTTGATGTCTCTCTCAAACATTTCTGGGATCGAGGTTATTCCAGGAAAAGGATGGTCGAGACCTTGAGGTCTCTTCAGATACGGTTGGATCTCAGCCCCCATTGCCTCCACTCAGGAGGCCCTTTGGCCAGGCTGAGTTGGTTGGAACCCAGCACGTTTGGAGAGTGGAAGCTCTAAAGCAGTGTTTCTCGACCTTGGCCACTTGAAGATGGATGGACTTCAACTCCCAGAATTCCCCAGCCAGC